CACTTCAACAACCCTCGCGTGTTCAAGACCGACCATGGCGAGCACGACGGTCGCAACCGCGCCATCAGACACATCGAGCACTATGCCAACTCATTTGATTTTGTGTCGCGATGGGGTGTCATGCACTTCAAGAAGAAGACCGCCGACCAGCAAGACCGCTCCGTCATCTACAACCTGAACGCGGCTGTCCTGTCCGGCCGCACCGAACCCAAGAAGCACCTCAGCAAGAGGCAGATCAAGGAGAACAACAAACTCGAGAAGGCCTGGAACTCGTACAGTGGAGCCTTATTCGAGCGCATCGGTTCTGGTCATCAGTTGAACCAGCACTACCTTGACAACATGTTCCCACTCGACAAGGGTCTCACGAAGGTCCAGCAGAATGGCGACGGCTCCCCTCTCCCGAACACGTTCATGGATGCCGAGGTCAATGTGTACAACGATCCCAAGCAGATCAACAGGCTAAGGAACCTCCAGAACGGATTCTACGGCCACGAGCACAATGGTGAACACCATGGTATCAATGGAGATGTCACTATCAAGAAGGTGTATCAGCTGAGCCGTCTTTGGAAGTACGTCAACGGCAACAGTCCCAAAGAAGAAGAGTACGCAGGAGAGTATTAATCTGGCTGCCATTGTATGAAACGACCTTCTGCCACAAAACTCATAGCAAAGAAAGAGCGTTGTTTGATATGCCCTGCATAATATTCTTGGCAAATGGAATCTTTGCCCGTCACGAACTATTCACCTTGACACCAAGCTGGAGAATCTGATACGAAGTTCCCATACGTATGCTAACGAGGATGCTGACTCCCACGGCCTGAAAAGTGCCTCCATACGCCTGAAGAAGCTTTCGAAGACCTGCAAATTACAGCCATTTCTTATCTATGGGCGACTGGTCACTTCAATTTCAAATTTGTTGTTGACTCCTACATCTGCATGCATGCCATCACTTGATGACGATGGTGGGTTTGAAATGTCTCCACTGTCTGCCGTGTCGAAGCTAGTATCACGCCCTGCAGTCAGCCACCTCATGGTTAAGTTCTACATCAAGCTATCCCCCAGCACCTTTATTTCGATCGCATTCTACAGCAATGACGTGGTCTTTTGGGCTTAGAAGTCTACCGTGAAACCAGAATTTACAGAAAACAGCCTTCCGGACTCGCTAAGCCAGACTTCGACCGCATGTATCCCCAAGTCATACCTTACTTACCTATGTGTACTCTACAACCCCGGGGCTTTCACAAATCAAGACGTTTTAAGAATTTTTCATTGACGCCAATTTAATTTGGTTGTCATGCATCTTGAAGCCTTCCTACCTTAGCTATTCATCAAGCAACTAAATTCGGCACCTGCCAAGACGGAGAAAGTGGAGACTGTCGGAGCGGCCCGAGTGATGCGGGTCTCTTCTTCGGCCTGGGAGGATTCTCAGTATTCCTTCCGTGACCATGCCGATGGGTGGCACAACTCCTAGCACATCGATGAGCTTAAAGCTGAGTGCGACAACTTCAGGAAGTACGGCCAGTCAGTAGCCGGTCACCCGGCGACGAACCTTTCCAGCAATTCAATACACAGTGGCTACGTCAGCTTCTCGAGGAATCCAACGTGTCTCAGTTATATCTTTTCGGAGCGTTTATTTCCCATCTCAAACTCTCAGAATACGACCTCTGTTTTCTGATCTTTGATCTTTGACAGAGAAAGTAAGCGCTCGCAGTAACCAAAGAATGATTGAAAATAGTGCTTGGCGCCTAACCGGCCCGTCCGAAGGTTCTAAGAACGGAATGTGGGAGAGCTGCGATCATGTCGGGGGCAGTTTTCTGTCGGCGGTGGGGCTGAGAATTCGAGATTGAAGAACTGGGGGCTTGGTTCGCTAGCCACGTAAGGTCTTGCGAATTCAGGCACACCATCTGCCCATGGTCACAACGACTCGCCAGATCCACCGCGGACAAAACCGATAAGCGGCGGGAAGGAGCTGTTGGTGATGTTCTCCACATGTCTGTGGAGCACTCAATCATGGGCAGAACCGTCCATTGGCTACGCGCTTCATCCCTGCGTTTGCCCCCAGCTGTGAATGAATGTTGGCATGCGACACTGAGCCGACTGTTTGCTGTGCATAACTCCAAAGAGCATCGTCACTTCTTTTAATCATTGCTTTTCGGTTCAGCAGTCGTCTTTCTCCTGCCAGTAATACAGGGCAATCATGCGGTCAATGAGGGGTCTGCAAGTGTGGTCTGGTAAACCTGGCAGTGTCCTCGACCTGTGTAATTTCCTGTTGGTTTTGTCTCGACACTTTCCAGGATGGATCTCCATTGAACCATGGCAAGCCACCATGGCACGTTCGCCGCTTGTCCCATCCCTACCCCGCTAGGAGGACCGGCGCTTGAGCCACTGTGAATGACGGCGGCGGCCTGCATTCCGCCTGCCAGGGCAGCTTAGCGGCGCTGAAGTTAGCATCACACTGATCTAGCAATGATTTTCAATAGACCAGAGATGTGGGATGATGCTACAGCGCTGTTGGTTCAGAGTAGCATTGCGCAGCTTGGCTTGCTGGGGGCCGAGGGAAATAGATTATTCTCTTTGTTCAACCAACACACCCCTTCGCAGTGAATAGTTGAGGGTCAAAGCCACACACAACACAAAATCGTCATGTCGCAGGCATCAACAGTTTTCGTCTCCCGGAACGGCGGTATTTGAACACGTAGGACCTGCGATGCTGTAATACGTTTGGGAGAATTCGAAGTGAATGAAGGCCGCAACCTCATCTGACTGATGAGAAGTTTTCAGAAGATAGCGAAATGAACAACATGCTTCCATGCGAAGTTGAAGCCATTTGGGTGAGGGTCTGTTGGCGCAAGGGTGAGGCGCAGTCGCTGAACAGCGAATCGCGCTGAAGCCCAGGATGCAACCCTGAAAGTTTGCAACCGCCTGACCCTAGTCCTTGTTAGTGGGCCAAACCGGTCTCCGGCAAATCACAATTCAGCAAAGCTTCAAGGCTTAGTTGGTTTATCGTAGGAACCTAAGGGCTAGCTGGGGTGCCAAGCGGATATGACGGGTGACAAACAGTCTCAATTTGCATTGTTCACAAGGGGAATGGTGTTGGTAGTTGGACCATCACTCATAAGAATCCGGCACCACCCAGAGGAGTTTGCGCTACGAGTCCCTCTTGAAGGTCCTGCCTCTCGGCATGTTCAGCCCAGCATGGTTATCGTATCAAAGTCATCCTCGCGGATGACGACGACGATTCTTTCTGTTTGTATTTTGTTCATGCTTATGTACTCGGTGTCGTTCCTTTCTACTTACTACCATCCTACTTCTCTACAAACACCAATACAAACGCCACCACAAACGCCAAGTCCCCCGAAAGTCTTTGAGCAACCCGAAGAAGAAAGGCCATCGGCGTGGCAGAACGAAGCGAAATCGATCATCGAGAAGGCGAGATCCTTCATAGATACCCCCATACGTGCCCCGTACAAGGAGAAGTTCTACGATGTTGGCCAACGAACTCAGATCGCGCGGGAATGGGTCAAGTTTCTTGACTCAGCTGGTGAATCAGACGACAAACAGACTGTCAAGGACGCCGTCGAGAGCGCGATCGGATCCCTGTTTCCCTTCATTCAGAACTCGCCGAAACGACCCGACAGCACTACGCCGTTCACCGATGTGAGATCCTCCATCGAGCCAGGATCACGTGGCATTGTCATCCCAACGGGGAAGGCGACCATGAGATACGCTGCTCATCTTATCGGATCGCTTCGTGAGGTGCTCCACACCAAATTGGCGATCCAGATCGTCTATGCGGGAGATGAAGATTTCCCCGCTGCTGATCGCGAACGGCTGCAAGCACGCTTCGAAGACGTCGAGTTTTTGGACATCTTGTCTGTGCTTGATGACACCACTGTCCAGCTGGCTACTGGAGGCTGGGCCATCAAAGCTTTCGCTGCGCTTTACTCGCCTTTCGAAGAGGTCATTTTGATGGATGCCGATTCAGTCTTCCTTCAAGTTCCCGAAAAGCTTTATTCTATCCCGTCCTACATCTCAACCGGAGTCCTCCTCTTCCACGATCGCCTGCTCTGGCAGCACGCCTTCGCGGAACGCCACGAATGGTGGAGATCGCAAATTCACGAGCCCAGTGCGACACTCAATAAGTCTCTGGTGTGGACAGAGGATTACGCGGAAGAGGGCGACTCTGGCGTGGTTGTCATTGACAAGTCGCGTTTAGATGTGTTGATGGGTCTTTTGCACGTGGCGTGGCAGAACACGCACGCCGTCCGCGAGGAGGTTACGTACGTGATGACGTACGGCGATAAGGAGTCGTGGTGGTTTGGTTTCGAGCTTAGTGGGGCGAGCTACTCGTTCGAAAAGCACTACGGCGCCATGGTTGGCTGGGTCCGCGACAAGCTGTCGGAATCTAGGGAGAGGATTTGCAGCTTCGTCATTGGTCATGTTGATGATGAGAATGGGCTGCTCTGGTACAACGGAGGGCTTTTGAAGAACAAAAAGATTGATGCCCACGAGTTCGGGCTGCCGACCCACACAATGGTGGACGGAACTTGGGAAAAGGGCGCTAGAAGAACAGACATGAGCTGTATGGTCGGTTCAGCGGGCAAGCCCGTGGATGAAGACAAGGGAGAAATTTTGGAAAGGTCTGTCGCATTGGCGCAAGAGTTAGACGACGAGTTTGATTTTGTTTTGAGAGGCTAGCCACTGATTGACGACGAGAAGCTTAGAGATTTTGCATTGTTTCACAACTATTATACCCCGAGAATTGAACTGTTCATGAAGTTATGTTGCCTGTGCTAATCAAAGATGAGTGCTCAATACATATCTAAGCCGGGTTCCGGGAAAATTATCAAACCTTTAATTCATAGTACTCCATCTTGATTGAGGATGAGACACTCAGTATTACGCCTCCACTGCCTGTTTCCGTTGCAACTTGCGCTGATCAAATTCGAAACAGTAGCGGGTCTTCTGAATAGAACATAATGAATGGTGTCACTGTCGATCTATTTCCCCTCGATGCTCTCTGTGTCGATGGAGATCATCTCCTCCAATGCAACCCGTAGCCTAGCAGTGACTTCTTCGCTTTGCCCATCAACCTTTAAGATCTCTTCAATTCTTCCAGCCCAACTCTTCCATCTTGGTGGGCCCCATTTCTCCTTGTTTGTCTTCTTCATGTCGTCGTAGATGACTTTGCCAGCATGGATGATCCACTCCGACGCAACTAATAGTCGACACTCTGCAAGCTTTCCCTCAGGGAGGTCTTTTTCCAGGGCCACCTCAATATCGACGCTGGGATACTTCAAGTATGTCTCCCAAGGCTTGTAAACTTTGGCTCCAACGATCCGTGCTTGAAAAGATGAGAAGTTGACCCACTCATCACACTCGCGAAAGAATTCTTCTTTCTCCTTGGGGTCTTCGGGCTCAGGCTTATGGTCTGAAGCTTCGTCGGGTCAGATATTGAACTCGTTTGCCTCATAGTGTCTCGCACTTACGAAATTTGCCATTCCATTCGTCCTCACACATCATACCGAAAACCGGATCATTGTGGTATGGATGGTACTCATACTGGCATGGATATTAGCATAACAAATCACAGCTGGCTATCAAAGCAACTTACGTCATCTTCTTGGTATGTGACTTTGGGAAGGTCTCGCAACTCAATAAGTAGCCTGACCAGCAAGTCTTGTCGAGGGTCGCAGTAAGACTGAAGCCAGGATTGAGACAAGATCACATGATAAAGATCTCGTAAGTATGTTGGCCAGCCTTTGTTCTTCAACATGTATGGCTTGTGCAGCGGATCCTTACTGGAGGGAAGATATTTGGCCCAATAATCGGCCCCAATCTGAAGTGCTGCCTGCTGAGCCGCCATATAGCCCTTGTCTTCGAAAGCTAGGAACATCCGCAGAATGATGGAAGCAGTTTCGGTGACTTGATCTTCTCCCCAACTTTCCTGGGCGGCGATTTGCTCCTCGAGGTCCGCTTTCCAAGGCTCAACGTTGGTCTCGTCCTTGGCTTGGGAGGAGGAGGTGACGGCCATGACGGGTGTGGGAGCGGGGCAGTGCGGGGTGGGAGAGTGCAAGACAAGTAGTGAGTTGCAAAACGAAGGCCTCGATTTCTCGAATGTGATTTTGATGAACCTGGTGATGGGAGGGGGCTGATAGATGTTATATGCTTTTCATTTGTCTGCTCGACATATTTGGGGCAGTGCAAAAGGTCTTGGAGGAGGGCATTCACGTTCGCCAAGTTGCTGTTGGTCGGGTCTGCTCACTTGGTCGTATCGCTCCAGGAAGATTTTAGGCGCTCACTGGTCGGTTGCACAGCCCCAGAGGCCAGCGCTTCGCCTTACCAGGGTATCGGTACCACCCGGCTGATTCCCGCCCATCTCCGAAGAATCGGGGGATCAGGTCTGAGACAGCCCGGGCCCGGATAGCGCGCATGCGCCGGCCCAACCAACTCGAAACTGATGCCACTCTACCAACACAGAGTGTTACTTTATTTGATATCAGCGCTTAACTTGCTGGCTTTAAATCTAGAGATAGATGAAGACGTTGGTTGGGCCCGTATGATACACATGTCCAGGCCGGGAATTCTGGCCAACAACGGCTGTCTGGACTTATTTTAGTTTCTAAACTGCTTTGGCGTTTATTTTGGCCACAACTCGACAAGAGATCAATGAATGAAATTATTTAAGGTCGAACGCCCAGAGCCCCGGGTCAACGATTTCAGACACTGCAATCCTGCCTCGCCGAATCGTCTCTTCCTGGTGAAGTGACCTCACTGCGTTCTTACTATTTTTATTGTTTTTCGCATTCTCAATTTCCTCTGAGGCTCTGACTGCCATCTTAACCTTTTTTCCCCTGATATATTGTTCCCTGATACCGGGAAAGTTCTGAACATGGGCAACAAACAATCCACACAGCGGCGTAATACCGACAACACCAAGCAGCACCTGGTACGTGTGCGGCAAGAGTCTGGCGTGTTTATTTCCAACTATCAACAGTCTCTTATGCCAAATATTCTATGTCCGAGGTTGTAATTTTGGGTCACAATGACGGGTGCTAATTTTCCATCTCACAGCAATATCGCACTCCAAAAGGGCCTGTCCCAGCTGCGGCCATACCATTGAATCTGGAAGACGCACCTGCTCCAAATACACGAACAAGATCCCGATATCCCAGGGAATACCGGAACAATGAAGGTCAACGTGGGCAACCTCGCACACAGCCGATCGATAACTTCGAAACAGGCCCCGGTCGTGTGCAGGGTCCTGCAGGTCGACTACATGAATATCCCATCCCGCCACCGGACACTCAGTTCCGTTTTCGCTACGATGATCCATGTATGAACGCTCATCAAGTGGAGCGCCGTATTCATCGAAATGAGAGGGCAAACGTTTTTGGCCCAGCAGATGGCAGGCCAGGCAATGATCCGATGACGGTCAGAGCCGCTGTTCGTGTTGCGCAAGTCGACGGCAAGGACGAACTCGTTGAAGCTGGGGTGTTGGCGCATCCCCCAGGGAATCGCACGGGGTTTCAACGAGCTCCAATTGAGCCACTCGATCGTCAGGGCCGGCAAATATTGCAGCGCGAGATTGATGAGAAAGGAAGAACAAGAACATATCCTCCCCGCGGTTTAGATGCAGCTTTCGTTCAGGGAGTAGAGACGAATCACGAGAGAGTGCATCGCCCAACTTACCCTCAAATGAGACGCAGATGAGGTTTTGCTTGGGCTATGTCGGTTGCCCTGCTTGCCGGAGCCTGTCATTGTGGGAAATTGGTACAACAGCACTCGAATGTTTCAAATATTACAAAATTGCATTTGTTGTCCATCATCTTCTATCTGGGTATATTAAACGAGAGAGATCCTTGCTTTCGAAATGTGACATCCCCGGATGCCTAGGTCCCCAGGCTGTATCTGGCTTTGACGGCAACCTTTGATTATTCCAAGCATCGTCCCAATCCTTCTGAACTTCCTTTATTGGGCCGGCTTGCATAGGGAATGCTTCAAGGTCGTACTGTTGTTTGATCCCTTGTGCCTGCTGTAACCAGCCCTCACGACGACCATCAATCGACGTTGCTCTCGGATCGTAGCCCCAGATGTCATCCGAATTAGTTCTAGATAGAGTTGAAGGATACGTCAAGGTGTCTCGTTGAGTCTTCAAGGATCTTCCCCTCGACGACAGGCTATTTGCTGTTCGCGGCGCTCCAAATGACCAATAAAGTAACGTCCTTCCTCGTTTTCGAGCACCCTTGCGGCCCGTTCGTGGTCGGTTCGGTGAGAATTCTCGAATATCGAGCTTCCTTTGGATCAACAAGTTGATTGTTGGCAAACAAGCACAAATAAGTCCGATTGCTAGCTCCAGCGCTCTGTTTGTAGTCAGCAGTCTCCTCACACGTGATGCATCTAGACACGAGACCTACGTGGTGATGTCTAGCAGAACGAAACCCTCCGTTCTATCTGAAGGCTCAAGGAATAGAATGGACTTATAAAGACGAAAGATGGATACACCAGTAGCGATTCCTCCAGCACTTAGCAGAGCAACCACCTTGACCTTTGTCCAAAAAGGCAGCCGAAGAGAGAACGTCATAGCGAGAGGAAGCAGCAAGATGATGATGTCGGTAAAGACGCCCAAGCACATGTCGGATATAAATACCTTCCGCTGGTTCAAACAGTTTGCTGGTTTGATGTCGGAGTCCCACGTGGCAGAGACCGGTATGCAAACTAATATCTTCAACACCATTATCGGTATATAGCAGAACAAAAGCACGTATATAAAGGTGAAAACACCTCTAGATACCCTTTCGTAAACTGCGAATACTCGCGCTTCTAGGAGAAGAAGCGTGGCCTTCGTCAAGTAGGCTGCTGGGCAGTAGAGAATGGAGCCGATATAAAGCCACTGGCAATGGTTAGCCTCGAAGGGTATCGGGCAGGTTAGTTCCACAGATTTGTGACCTACTCGCAGGACCTCCTTGTATGCTTCTTTCGTTACTTCCCATTCGTGGTAGCCTTCTCCGTAGTGCGCCACTTTCGCAATCCATCAGCAGGTAATCACGCACAAGGCACGAAAGGCGCCACTTACTGACAAGCACAGTGCTGATATAGCACATCCACAGGCCCTGAAGACAATGTTATCAGAGGTGTTTCCCTTCGCGATGAGAGAGAAATCGTACATAAGCTGCTAAGCACGTCCCTGCGGAAGCGTTAGTGTCCATCACTTGATTTCAATTCTGGAGCGGTACTCACAATCTTCCATGTACCAATGAGTGTTGAGCGCCGTCTTGGAATAGCTTCGCAGACCGAACATGATTGTCGTCAATCCCGCCATCACAGCCAGACCGACCACCAGATTCGCTCTCCCAAGATCATCCGGCTGCGCAAAATTCGGTACCCGCCCCGGCGGAGGCGGAAATGCTCCCACCGGGCCAGCTTCTTGCGCCATGATGTCGCCCGCCCGAGTTCAGCTGTTTATCCAGAGTGGTGATGGTCATTGAAGAAAATAACAAGACAAGTGGAGTGGAGCGGGTTGCGTGGGGGGATGGGCAGACAGACTGCTATACTCTTGCCTGGGCAGAATAAGGTTCGAACGGATCGATCCCGGATGCTCTCGGGCTTACGTCGTAAGAGTCTTATTGCACAGAGGAACCTGGAGCACCCCGAACTATCAAACTTTTGGGGAAGATGCGAAGCAGATGTTTGTGGTCATACTACGCGACTCCTTGAATGGAATGCACAAATGATCACGTTGTTTACGCCCGGAGCTTGTTTCGCCAAGGTCAGTTCCGTCTAGCTATCCTTGATGAGCAACATCGGTCGAAGCTTGTATTTGGTTTGAAGGATTGAAACTTAGGTCAACCTGACTTGGAGGTGGGGAAACCGAGGGTCTTGCACGTGTCGGGGAGTCCATTTCATGCAACTTAAGACGACAGATTCCCTGTACAGACGAAAACGGATGAAGTATGCTTGAAGCACACAGTGAGGAAAGTTTGTCCGCCGTCAATCAGCGTGCATCAAATTTGGCCCGAAATTAGCAAACCGCTGGGGACACCTGGCCTGCTCGAATAATGGAATGTTCTACAAAGAATCGTTGAGAATCACCCTGGCTAGGAAACCGCAAAGTGTTTGAGATTGATCATAGCGCCGGCTTTTTGGCACTACTGTCGGCATCACTTGTCTCTGTTCTAATTGCCCCTTTCGCAGTGCATTGCTTGTTGCTCAGCCAATAACGCTCACCCGAGCTCGAGTAGGATAGGAGCTGGGGAGCGTACCCTCCTTACTCGCGAAGATGTTACTGTATTACTAACATTCAGATTCAATGAATGGAATCTGGTCGTTTAGCAAGGCTGCAGATATCATGCCAAAGGGCTTCTAGAAGCAAACACGTGCCTCGGCCCGTTCCATCAAACGTTGAAAGTCTTGGGATTCCACCCCGACAGCTGTAAACATGTTGTTCGGCGTCCGACCGCGTCTATTCACCCATATTGGATAAGAACTGCGGGGCCGAGACTCCCTGTTCATCACACCACGGTGTTTCAACCGTCTTTCCTGTTTCCTCTCTCTGGGGAATTTTCGGTCTGCACCGACTCTTATTTATGTACAGCCATGATAATTTCGAACATGGAGCTCGTGCCTTGCCCATATAAGCCCTGTTCAAGATCTGGCGTTTGCATGAACGGCTCCATGGATTAGGTCTTCTTTATGACCTTCAGTCGTGGGAAGTCCTAGTTGCCATGTCACTCCAGGAGGCTCCTGGTCCCTGGAAGTAGACTCGTCCATGTTGAGAGTCCCATGATCGGGACTAGAACCATTGATTGTTGATACCGAACGGCGTGTGATCTGCTTTTATCTTATGGTCAACACATGGAAACAACTCCCCAATACAGCCCGTGTAATTGTTTGGTACCTTGAGGTAAGTGATGAGGACCGCGGTAGGGACTGTTCGATATCTAATGCTAGTCCAAGTTGGGCGGCACTGAGCCAATCGGATCATAGCATAGGTAGCCTAAAGTGGGACTAGTCTCTACGCCAAGGACGATTCGGGCCCTCGGGCAAGAGGAATCCGAACGATGTTGGTGAGGGGAAACGGATATTTACAAGCCGCAACTTGAGGAATCCGACGCATGCTTGTTTTGTATAACTCACACGAGTTAAGGCCGTCAAAGAGGAGATCGGGCCATTCGCACAAGAACCTAGGTGTCGGACTTCATTCAGTCGAACGTTGACGACTCGGAAAACCCGTACAGTGCACCCTCCTCTGACCATCTTATTCCAGCGTAATTGCTGCTGTGAAACTACAACTAGCATGGAGGGACCGTAAGTTTTGATCCGGTAAAATTTCATTCATCTAACTGTTTGATTTAGACAATACGTATTGGTTACGGGTGCAACGGGCTTTATTGGAGCCCATGTTGTCGACGAACTCCTCCGACGGGGCGTCCGAGTGCGAGGCGCCACTCGGACTTTGGCGAAGGGTGAAGAAATGATCAAGTCACGACAGCAATATGCCGATAAACTAGATTTCATCGAGATCGGGGACTTCGAGAACACAAATGTGTTTGATGGGAAGATAGAGGGTATTGATGGTATCATCCACGTTGCCAGTGTGAGTTTACTTGTGTTGCAAGCTTGCGGTGGATGCTGACAGATATCATCCCAAAGCCCTTCACGTACGATGTCAAGGATAATGAGCGAGAGCTCATTCTACCAGCAAAAAATGGTGTACATGCGATCATGTCTGCGGCAGAGGCTCAACCAAACATCAAGCGGATCGTCATTACGTCATCTTTCGCTGCTGTGCTCAACTCCGACCGCAAGGCACCTCCTTACTTCGATTACACGAGTGATGACTGGAACCCATTAACTGAGGAAGGAGATTGCATCCCTGGAACAAGCCCAGTCATTGCGTACAGAGCAGCGAAGAAGTACGCTGAATTAGTCGCCTGGGACTGGATGCGGGCCACCGACGAAGGCAAATCTCGCCACTTCGACCTTGTGACACTGTGCCCCCCGATGACATTCGGGCCAGTCGTACATCCAGTCAGCGGGGTTTCGAAGCTGAACGAGTCAAATGCGATGCTTTGGAAAATTGCAAAGGGTGAAACCCCCCTTCCGGTGGCTAGAGTCCCATTCTGGATTGATGTTCGAGACCTTGCCGTGGCGCATGTCGAGGCGCTCTTACGACCCCAAGCAGGAGGAAAGCGATACCTCTTGGGAGCCAATGATCGTTTCTCGTACGGTTTGGCTGCGAAGATTATGGCTGACAACTTTGACTGGGCGAGAGGAACTGTTGCCGAGGAGGAGCAGGTGATTGACACGTCACACGGTCTGGAGAACAAAACTGCGGCAAAGGAGCTTGGTCTGGACTACCGGACGTTTGATCAGACAGTCATCGATCTCGTGACACAAGCCAGAAATATGGATATTGAAGACACGAGGTCATAAGCTTTGTATTCAGGCTTTGCCCAGGTCTCGATGAGACGAATTACCGACTTAGTCGACCAGATCACGGCCTCATATGGATTCCAGCCACCACCTTTCCGGTCATATCCAGCCGTGTCCCCCACAGTCACAAACTTGGTTGATGGTCGTCAAGTAATCCGCCTAAATACAATTTCTGCCAACCAGAACCGTCGTCGGTACTCAACTTCCGCTCTGACCAATCACATAAATGTCGATCTACCAGGCAATGTGTGAAGGAAAGTCAGCGTCGCTGTGAGATATATGATGTCGGCCCTTTCGGTTTGGCGGCAGTGTAGTCCCGTTATTTGCCTCCGAGGGCTTCCTCGCCAGGGCGTCTATGCGACTGGAGGCGGCATACTAGCGAATGGGCGCATCATTGTGGCCCTCAGAATAGAGAAATACCTATCGGAGTTTTGGACCTGGATTCCGATGAAAGGTTCGAACATGCCCTGAACCCCGAACTTCGATCTCTGTGGTGATATATATAAGACCAAGCTCTTCAGAGACACTTTCAATCGTTTTTCTCGTCATCATAGCAGGTATTTCTCCTGAATCAAACCCTCGTCATGAAGCTATCGTTCCTCTCTACGGTCACCCTTGCGGCACTTGCCCATGGTCACTGCATCTTCCAAGTAAGTCATGTGAAGGTATTTCCCGATCGTGGTGCCGTTACTCATCTTCCGCTTTACAGAAAATATCAGTAAACGGGAAGGAATATGGATCTCTCGCCGGTCTCCGCGCTCCGAACCAGAACAATCCGACGACAGATGTCAACTCTCAGGATATGATCTGCGGTAAAGTAGCCACCTCCTCTCAGGAGGTCATCTCGGTCGCTCCCGGAGACAAGATCGGTGCCTGGTGGCAGCATGTCATCGGCGGCGCCCAGTTTCCCGGAGACCCGGATAACCCGATTGCCGCATCTCACAAGGGCCCGATTACCGCCTGGCTGGCAAAGGTTTCCAGCGCTTCGTCCACCGGCATCACCGGTCTCAACTGGTTCAAGGTCGCTGAGGATAACCTTGACACCAGCTCTGGAAAATGGGCCGTTGACAAGATGATCAGCAACAATGGCTGGAGCTACTTCAACCTGCCTCAATGCATCGCCCCTGGGGAATACCTGTTGCGCGTTGAGCTGCTCGCTCTACACTCCGCCCACACCCAGAACGGCGCTCAATTCTACATCTCTTGCGCAAACATCAAGGTCACGGGATCTGGATCCTTGTCTCCGAGCTCGACTGTCAAGTTCCCGGGTGCGTATCAGCAAAGTGACCCGTCTATCTTCATCAACATCTATGGCACTGGTGGTGTCCCCAACAACGGAGGCAAGGCGTACACAGCACCTGGACCGAGACCAGTCACTTGCTGAGACTACACTGCATTCAATCGATAGGGTGCACGAGCTGCGGGTATCTTGATTGAGGATGGCTTCCATTTCTTAGTCCTAAGCCAGCCCTGCACTTATCCCAACTTCACTCAAAGCCTGCACCGAAACGTAGTTCCTGAATCAAGCAACCAGTCATACTTGATAAACTTCCGGCTCTGATGTGCCATTACACAACCCCGATGCTCACACGACCGTCTTCGACCATCACACGTAGATTTATGTTAATGCTCATGTCGGCGGTCTTGTTCGTCCCGTTGGTTCCCCCGCCACCCGGCCCGACATTGACGCCGGAAAAGTTCCCAGAGCCGACGTTGATGTTTGTCACCTCCGTAATTCTGTCTCCAATTTCAATGGTGTTCCCATCACCGATCGTATTGTTCCCGTCACCGATATCGAAGTCGTCGCCTAGGTGGCAAATTAGCACCTCAATTGAGTAAAAGTATTTGGAAACCTATGAATCAGAAACAGTTACCTACCAGTATCTATATCATTGCCTATACCCGCAAAGCCTACGCCGTTACCATCGCCTGTTCCGCCACAGCTGACAGAGCCGGAATTGCCGGTCTGGTTCCCGTTGACGCCTTGGCCCACTTGGCGCGGTGATACTGTTTGTTCTTCAGATAACAATGAACCAAGGTTGAACGGGAATGGAAGGGCAAGTGACGTTGCTGCCAGGAAGGCAACAAGAATGATCATGCTTTCTGCGACCATCCCGGAAGACAGAGATGATTACATCAGCCTATCATGCCCATGAAATCTGGACTCTTCCGCAGGTTAAAGGTACTGCGAGAAGACTGGCAACGTCCTCCGTAGATGGTAATAAAAGGAATGCAGACTGTGAGCCTTTCCGCCTCATCATTGCAGCATGCATTCGTGTCTTTTATGTTATTCTTGGCAGAAGCCAATTCTGAGGGCCGTCCAACTACCGAAAAGGCCCCTGATGACCATCAATAAGAACGATGTATGACAAGTTCGGCCGCCCTCTTTCCCGACAATTCGACAAGCTTGCGCTTCACCAAGAGGCTGCCAAGACCCGTTTATGATAGATTGAGCGCGGCAGATAATCGCTTTAACAGCTCATTTGACCGGCAAAAAGGTGGTGGCCAGTCGAAATCTCCTATTTGGAGTGTCTGTTAATCGGGCAGGCCGCTCTTGAACATGAAACGGGGAGGGTGCCATCTGGGAAGACGGCAGATTTCCAGACGGGCAGGACGGTAACGGTGGCATCGAAAGGCCACCAGCGTCCAGTTTCACCACACAGGTCGATGATTATCTTTCACAGAACAAACTACCGTCTATGTTAATGATTGGAGTATTGCTCACAATCTCTGTCGCATTCAAATTCGACTGGATGCATGAGTCTTGGCATTGTTCGATGGGGAGTGACCGCTGTGGGATGAACAGTGTGGCCAACACCACATTGAAGGGGGATCGGGTCAGAAGGTAAGATAAAGATGAAGAAGAAGAAGAAGAAGAAGAAAGGAAGAGAGGATTGCGACTGCGAACTTCGCCAACTATCCTTTTCCTGAATGCGCAGGCGAAGCTGTGGGTTAAAGGGGGAATTCCGAATTCCTGGTTTCGAAGGGAGTGCGCGGGCGCCGAACGAAGCCTCGACGGTGGGATGACACACGAGTTTCCACTGTATGATGCTCCTGAGGAACAACACTGCCCACCCACCTGGGCATGAATCATCAGGGATGAACTTCAGTCTTTTCAACCCGGCGGTGTAGGTATATGCTGGCCCGGTTCATTTGCAGGACGGTCACAAACATGCTCCCCCGCATGAAGTAGGCGAAGTCCTGCCGTTGGGGGTAGTCTCCTGTCATGGAAGAAAACACGGTGAAGCGCGACCCAGTTGAATGTGCATCAGGGTCCAAAACGATTGACCATCATACTCTTGGCCTGGTGGATCAACGAAATGGCTGTTTGAACTTCAAGCAAGATACTCGACTCGGGACTACCGCAGTAAGAAACAAATGTCTCTCCAGCTTGCACAGCTCAATCACGGTTGCAATGCGATAATTCAATGAGGGCAAGCAATACATCGTAGCCTAACCACTCCGCCACTATGTTGATTTTGCAGAAATATCTGCAAAGTGTAATAGAGTTATTATCAGCTCACAAATTCACGGCTTCCGATGGTTCAGAAGCACAAACAAAGCAAATGTCCAGTTTGTTTCCTCAAGATCTAGGCAAAGATGGCTTGAAATTCGTATTTGATCACTGGCACTCAAGCTTGATCCAAGTACTTCGATGGGCTGTTCGGTCGCGGCAGCCAATGAGCTCGTAAAGGGACATGCATGGGCTGTCAAAAACGGCGATCGTGTCAATCTCGATAGTAGGTGGGTTGTGAATGTGGATATCAATGATGGTTCAAAAAAAGAAACCTGCTCAACAGCCCGATTCGTGGAAACTAAACATAGCGTAAGGCATTAACTGGCATGAAGCTGGCTGGAGAGGAATGCAACCATCAGGGAAGTAGCAGTTCGTAAAAAAAAAATCAGAGAGAAGCCCCGGAAACATGGACGCGAGGGGCTTTGTTGTTCCGTCATCCATGTCTGGTTTCTGTTGAGTTGGCATGACAGATCATAGCAACAACAATGCCAGCAGGTCCTTGGACGAGAACCACGATGCAGACCTCGGTGAACACGCGCTTGGTGTGCTTCACAAACACGTTGGGTGGTCATAAAGAAGTGGATGTCATGATTGATGACATGATGAAAATCAACAACGATCGCAAAATTGCTCAATTTGCATTGCAGCCTTTGGGGAATAACATGAAGCACCCGTTAGCAAGCCCACCAGCCAATTAAATCTGTCCAGGCATTAGGATGGACCCATCCACAGTCTAAATATAGACTTAAAGCCTGTGCCATTTATTCGACACAGCGAATCCGCCTCGGCCGGGCATTCGTCCGAGGCCCCATTGAAAGAGCTCCCGTCGGAAGCGTCCCTTCATGCGGCCCTATGGGCGGCCCGGGCGCCACAACATGGGGAGAGGCCGCCCAACTGGTGGGATTTCCGAATTGCTTCATGTTTACCGTGAACAGAAGTCCGAGGTTGTGTTTATTGCCGTCGCATGTCCGACATGTTTCGACGGTTTCTTGCTTGCGCTGAGACCTTTTGCTGGCTATCGCGCCATAACCAAAAATCACTTCTACAACACCGCCATGAAGACTTTCTCCTTTTTTTCAATCGTGACAAGGCTGCAAGTGAGCAGGCATTTGGAAGCAACTCCGCATCGATTTTCAGATTCACATATTCCATGTTGTTTTACAGGGCTACAGGGCTGGTTTCGATGGCGGTGTGCGTATTTCCGGACCCAAGATCGCTAAGTTTTGAGTCAGGGATAGGGAGCCATGGTTATTCTGGTGCCCGTGAGGAGTGATCATGGCCGAACTCGGCTTCAGTATTGGATGATGGTCAACGGTGGGCTTGCAAGTGGACATCACGGAGAGCATGAGATGACTTTTTGCCGTTGCAACCGATACGAGTGTCCATTGTCCAATCCCCAGCCATTTCGCGAGGTTTGAGTCTAAAACAAGGGGGTGCAGCGAAGGGACTCGCTTAACACCAGAATACGTCGTCACTGCAATGCGCTGGCCTCCTTTGTGACCATCGTGTCTAGCGCGCGGTGGATGGAACCAGAAGAGTGAGTATGTAAGCGGCTTTGATACGGACATACGAGGGGACTCTGTCTTCCGGAATCATTCCGATTGAAAGTTGGCAGGTATAATTCACTTGATAATGCGGCGGAGGCAGTGTCATCTGATGGTTGAATGCGGGAGAGCCCTGAATTAGTGGAGAAAAACAACACTGACGTCTGTATTTATGGAATCTGGTGCAAGTTGCCCCCTACTTCTGGAGCTTAAACTTTCTGGGGCAGTGTTGGGATGAACACAAGGTGACAAGACGGCCCTTCGGCGCGCCTTCGACGTTGCTTCCTTGCATCGCTCAAAGGGTGCGATTTGAGCCTCTGTGGGTTTTGTTCCCTGTTTTAGTTTCCTCGACATAACGTTACAGAAGCTTTAGTGGCATATGACGTCGATATTCTCCTATTGCGGGGGACCGGTCCCTCCGAATACGAGTCAAGCATTGCTGGGCTCCACCGATCGTCGGGACTGATCGTCATTAACGAGTGAGGAGCAGTTGGGCTCCTCGTATTTGCAGACTTGCAGCCGAAGTCTGGAGAGATCGTGGCAACAATCCGAGTATATAAGACGTTTGAATTCATCGTCCAAGATTCTTTCTGGTCCTCATCCACAACACAACCAATCAATCACTCTCCTACAACTCAATAACTCTAATAAACCAACTCAACAACTCTCTTTACCAACCACCAAAAACCAACCATCAAAATGCAGTTCCTCACCATCCTCGCGTCTGCCGCCGTCGCCTCCGCTGCCGCTATCCAGCAGCGCGACGTTACCTTCAAGGTCTCTGAGTTCAGCGCCGGTTGCATCCCCCACAGCTCCCAGTGCTCCTACTCTTTCACCGTCATCCAGCCCGGCACCATGGAGACCACTGGTGTCAAGTGCTCCGGCCTCTTCCAGGCCCAGGGCACCAGCACCCTCCCCGACGTCAAGGAGGCCCCTTGCACCGACTCTTCCCGCACCTTCGACGTCGTCCGCTCCGCTGAGGGCCTGACCCTCACCGTCTCTCAGCCCGTCACCCCCAGCTCCAACCAGACTGGCTCCCACCTCATCCCCAACGACCAGCTCGTTGTCGCTACCCAGCCCAACGCCCAGGTCCAGTCCTACAACGGCCCCACTGCCTTCGACCTCGAGTAAGCGGTTCAACAACCAGCCGTCATCGACGCTTGACTCCGGTCATCTCAGACTTTTCATTCGACGATGGGCAACCCCTGACCTTGGCATTGCAATACCAAGCAAGCAGAACAATGCATGCATAGGTGGAAGACTGGCGCTTGCTCAGTCCAGGGCTGTACGACTCAATTTTGATAGACTTGTAACATAGAAAAATGCATTCGGATCCATTTGGCAAAAACTTTCCCTCGCTTCTCTCGTGATCTGATCTCCTCTTGATGTCAGAACTATTGGTTCGAGCCATAACACTCGATTTCACTTCCAGGGCTGAGTCGATATGACCAGACCTAATAAGTGGTCACTTTTGAGAACAACCATGAATTGTCATAGGAATACTAGCCCTTGGGGCCATCAATTTTGCGCGAACTAGTTGTCTTTACCTTTAGATCTGCTGACCCATAGCGCCGATGTCTTTGACTGCCTCGAGCTCAGGCAAAAAGCTCTCGAACTTTCCCTTGATCATCTTCCACGCCGTCGCGACTAAGGGCACTCGCAACGGAATCTTGTCCCCGCGGCTTGCGATACCATGAATGGCATCCGCAATGGCAGAGGGTTCAGCGCCCATGCCCATCTTGAGCCCTGCGTTGACGTATCGTTCAAGGGCTCGGGCAGGCATGTCGCTGGCCGCGTAGGCTGGATGGGGAGCGGTATGGGCCTTGCTGTGACCTTCAAAGTTAGTCTTGACTCCAGCAGGCTCCACGATACAGATGTTGACTGTGTTCCGAAATTAGCCCTGTGATCGAGTAACGAACATGAATGACAGGATTATTGGGCTCACTGTTCCAATCCGGATGCATCTCCCTGGCCACAGACTCAGACCAGCCCTCAACAGCCCATTTACTCGCATGATAGTAGGCGTGACCGGGAAGCCCAACCTGACCGGCCAAAGAGGAAATGTTGAAAATAACACCACCTCGGTGCTCCGGATGCTGGCGCATGACTCCGATAGCCCGGGTCGACACCCGTGCGGTGCCGAAAAACAGGGTCTCCATTTCCAAGTGGGTCTCCTCTTCGGTTGCCGACTCCGTATCGCCGGAAAGCGAGTACCCGGCGTTGTTCACCACGGCATCGAGGTGGAAGTCTTTCCCGAAGTGCTTGGCGGCCGACTCAAAGGCAGCATTGACGGATGTTGGCGATGTGACGTCCAAAGCAAGCTTGAGGATGTTGGGGTTGTCGTCGGAGAGATAAGACAGATCTGCAGGCTTGCGGGCCGTGGCGATCAACCGGTGGGAAGGTTTGCTGGCAATTAAGGTCGCCAAGGCTTTCCCAATACCGGACGAGCAACCAGTGACTACGCAAGAATAAGTCAATTTTTTCGACGGAGATTGGCGAAATGAGGCAGTCGCTAGAAGAAAAAAACATACTCAACCAAGTTGCATCGGCGGGCAAGTTGTATGGCTTGGTGTTGACGGGATTCATGACCAAGAATGGGGAGCGCCTAAAAGATAAGAGAATGTCTAATTTGTGTTGTATACGAATCGTTTAACATATCTTCACTGTGCGGCGAGCCAAGACTCTTTATATCTTTATTATTGTATCTTGTTTTACGCCGAATTCAGGCGCCGTAGCACCATAGGGCTTACTTCGGGAGACCGGCAGTCGGCGACTAGTGAGTTTGGCACTGACCCATATCCTTCGTTCAATGAAGACACCCGAGTGAGTCAACACGACCGGCAGCAATGCGGCGAGCCCAAAATGGCTGGCCGATGGTCGCATCTTCACGCTTATGTCTGTCAGCATGCCGCAAAAGAACCCCACACGCCGTAGTCCTGCTTACCTGGATTTGTCCTCTCGCACTCGGCTACCAGTTCAAGCCACACACCGGACGCGCCTTTGCATAGATCAAGCCACCAGAAAGCTGGATATCTTCTCAGGCGCCGATTGCTGGTTGTACGAATGTCTTTGACACGGCCAATGAAGGTCGCGTCAAGCCGCTCGATAGTCTTGATAACATCCATTGGTCAGTCGGCTCATCCAAAGGTGATGGTGGTTCCACCGCGGAAGGCTCATCAGCTGTACCTCATTCATATTACACCCGCCTCATGATGTTGCTTGATTTGCTGTGTGTGGCATTGATCACTGGATTCGGGGGAGCTACTTGATACACCCAGACTCACAATTGACAGATACTTAAGAATAAGCTGGTAGGGCTATTGGCCGAATGCCGAGAATGGCACGGCCTTCGTTGTTCCAATCATTAAAGGCAGATGATATTGAACTCTCTTTCAAAATATTCACTTCTGTCCTTACAACTCACGGTGCCGCTAGTAGTCATGCCCAAGACGATGCCTTGGCAAATGACTGGACTGAGAACGCGCTGAAATCACACATGGCCTGATCTTTAGTGATTTGGTTAAGAAGTGAGTAATCAGGGTGCTTTCCTCAGACGGTCCAGGCAAAGACTGAGCCTGAGTCAATCCTCCATTTTCTTCCACCACTACCACCTTTGCTGGCAGACATCTTCTCCACACATTTCGAGCCGACCAGATTGTGCGACTAGATATTACAGGGAAAACCAGACTTAAATGACAACTTCACTTGCTTGGTCTTGCGCCCTGAAATTCGTGTTGATTTTCGCGTCTTAATATCGCCAATTGACCTCACGACTGCGTGACTGGAACTTGCAGATGATAGTGTAGGGTCGTACAAAGACGCGCGCTCAGTGTTGTGGGGAAGAGCAGGGCGCACCACCACCGCGCCCGATGTGTCCACAAAATTCGCTCAACTACCCATCTCCAACTCCTGCCTTCACCGCCTACGCCGACGACCGAAGCAAGACATGGCGCCACGAGACGCATCGCCCCCAAGGCTACTACCTTATGCGGATCCCGAGGAAATTTACCCCGAGCATGTACGCTTGGAGGAGGAGACTTTCCCTTGGTACCATCCGGACAACTGGTACCCTGTAACAATCGGTCAGGTCTTTGAGTCGCGTTACCAAGTCTTGTTGAAGCTGGGGTTTGGTTCAGCGTCGACGTCATGGTTATGCCGCGATTTGAGGTATGCGTTTTTCGGCATCCTGTATTAGATGGTTCATACTGAGTGATTTTGCAGAGAACATGTCTACGTCACTCTCAAAGTCTTTGCGGTCGGCAATAGTCAAGCTGCAACCGAAGAGAAGGTGCTCCGCCATTTAAAATCTGTCAAATCCGACCATCCCGGAGCAAAATTAGTAAGACTTCTCAAGAACACTTTCAAAATCGCAGGCCAGAATGGTAGTCATATGTGTCTTGTTCTCGAAACTCTCGGTATATCCCTTGCCGACATTCGTGAGATGGCCGGCGGCAGGGTGCCTCCAACTCTTTTGAAAGGCTTGGTCCAAGGCGTATTACTCGGACTGGACTACCTGCACACTGCGGCAAATATCATCCACACAGGTATGTTTCTAATTTCGTGTCTTTGGAATTCTCGGAGCAATGATTAACAAAGATGTTAGATGTTCAAGACGGAAATATCATGTTGTCAATCAAGGACACGGATGTTCTTGATGCTCTCGTAGAAGATGAATGGGATTTGCCTAGCGCTCGAAAGATTATCAAAGATCGGGTGATTTATGCGTCGACGGGGCTGGAGATTCCAGACGAGCCCGGAGACCCCGTTATTGCGGATTTCGGAGATGCTCGGATAGATGAAGGCCCCTTTGAGTTCGAGGAGGAAGTAATGCCTGATGTCTATCGAGCCCCCGAAATAGTGTTGGGTGTGCCATGGAATGAAAAGATCGATATCTGGGCGCTAGGATTGTTGGTAAGTAGAAGTGACTGCGACTGAATCCAGAGCATGAGGTAACCCAGATACAGATATGGGACTTGCTTGAGGGTAAACTACTTTTCAAGACTAGACTGCGAGATCCAACGGTATCAAGGGCAGCGCACTTTGCGAGGATGATCTCTCTGCTCGGCCCTCCGCCGGAAGACCTCTTGGAGCGCGGTTCGGCTTGGAAAACTCTATTCGATGAAGACGGTATGTTTGAGACTCAGAGTATTGCCGACAATCTTTCTGACACAGTCCTCAGGGCGACTCATACTCGACGTTGAAGTTTCAGAAACCTCTCTTGAAGAGGAAGAGGGGATATTAGAAGGTGAAGAAAAGGCGAAATTTCTGGCATTCCTGCGGAAGATGTTGCAGTGGAAACCGGAGGACAGGCTCACAGCGCGTGATCTACTGGAAGACCCCTGGCTACGCGGGACTGCAGCGTGATGGCTACAGTGGATATCAGCCTCAATTTGAGAATAAAAAGCCATTGTAGGATGTTTTGAAATAACTTCATGCTTGAGGACCGTTCTGGGCACGTAAAATATGATGCAACCGAGAGGGGCTGTGCATAGACAACTCTGTCCTGCTTGGCGAATCGAAGGCGAAAAGATATGGTCCCACAGGAAAATATGAGCACACACATGGATTTCGCAGCCACCTAGTGTTGAAAAATCCCATCGAAGTTCAAAACGAACATTGACTCGTCTTCCAAACAAACACTAAGACTCAAGAACCGACCAACAAGGTAGTACATTTTTGCCTACTAGGCCTCCTGCGGAACACTCATCTCACACATAGTAAAAGCACTCAATCTCTCTTAAAATAAGAACGGCAGATCTCTAGAGCCCGGAATGTTAGCATTTCATCGAGAGGATATGGAGAGGTCAATGTAACTTACGTTCGGGACGGTGCTCTTCACTTCGCACCATGGCTTCATTGGATTCTTCTCATCTTTCTCGAGATTCTCAATGCTCCAGAATTCTGGCTTGCCATTACTGTTCGCCCACAACGTGATATTATGGTGTTCTTCTTTTCTGAATTCGATTCTCAGCTCGTTGCCTTGGTCATCCGTCAAAGTTTGCGAACTCGGTAGAGATCTGAATTTGCCACCGTCGCTGTGCTGCTCACTTTCCAAAACGGTCTTTTTGCCATCCTTGGTCTCGGAGATTGTGATGTTCGCCATGTGCACGTCGTCATTCTTATGTACATTACCCCGGATTTCTTGGCTGATATGGACAGTACGTTTGAGCGGCTCATCTGTATTTGAGGGTGGAGGGCTTGATGATGGTGCTGTGGAGCTTGGTCCTGGGGTTTTGGTGGCAGATGATTTGCTCGTGGCGACTGCCGTGTTACCGGAGGAAATAGAACCTGACCCCTTCGCCGATTGAGAACTGGTAAAAGTAATACTGGTGGAGGTCTTCCCCGAGGAATTGGATATCCCCTTTGATGCGGATGCTGAAGCGGATCCTCCATCACCTGATGCAGATGGTCCATTACCGGCAGCCTGAGGAACAGGGCAGGAGCCACCTCCGTCGTCGCGAGCCGCAACCGTCTCGTCTTCTTGATAACACCAAGACGACTCAAAAATTATCTTGTCGTAATACTCCCAGAACACTTTGATGGTAGGGCCTCGATTAACCCCATCAACCTTGTGCGCAGGATGGTATTGGAAGAAGGCAAGACCTGCAGAAGACTCCGGCTGCCAATAATCCATGACTCTTTGTCCTTCCTGCAAAGGCCTAGGCACACCTGGCCAGTATAAAGGACCTTTAACGTAAGCCTGGACCATAATCTTATCTCGAGGAAATCCGAGGCCAACAATGAAGTTTTTCCATCGTTCAACTGCAGACGGGTGCCGCACCAAAGCATCTCTGACAGGATCCTCACGCATTGGAGATAAAATTCCAGTCTGGGGAGTGAAAATAATGATTTGCAGTGTGTCTTCTTGCATGTTGTCGAAAATATGCGTTTGTTCCTTCAGCTGGTCAATACCCCTATGTTTTGCGTCTCCCTCTTTCAAAAACATCTCCACACCTTTGTGGAATTCTTCATTGAGGTCGAGTCCTGGATAATTGTAGGGGTTTGCGAAGTTTGGGACCTCCCAGTTGTGACTCACGTATATTCCTCGTTTGGTGATAATCATCAGAATACTGCAACCCCATAGTGGACCGCTCCCACCGACGATTCCTCTGTCAGCCCATTCACTGACTCGCATCGTGGACACTCCGTACGGCCCCAATCGCGAGGTTATACCGTCGGGATATCTGTGGTATTGCTCCTCTGCCCCGTCGCAGTAGTTCTTGATCTGGCGGAACATTCGCAAGCGCCAGGCGGCTTCACCGGCGGGCCAGGTTGTCACGTATGGTCTGTCATTTATGGGGATATCGTTGCCCGCTGCATCTTTTTTGACATCTTTAACCCAGATTCCATCAGGGTGGTTAAGTAGTTCATCGTCATCGGGAGGGTTCCAATCGACATAGTTGATTACTCTCTTTGATAGACCGGACTGCGTCTCAGTAGACGAAAGCACACAATCCCCGCAGTTGGACTCTGGGCTGCAGAAAAATTCAGAGGGTGTGGCACTAGCTGTAGAGATTGTTGTAGTGGTTGTGGTTTGCACCGTTTTACTGCAGACGACCGTTGGCTGACAGGTGAACGTGAAACATGATGTGCTGAAGCTCGTAGACTTGTCGATAGTAGTGACTGGTCTAGCGACACAGCTTTGGCCGCAGTTGGGATATAATGTGGTAGAAGCAGTACAAGACGATTCTGAAGAGGTGCTTGTGGGGGTCTCCGAGGGCTTCGGATCGTCAGGATCGCTTGGGTCACCCTTCCGGGGCTCCTTAGGAGGTATAGGCGGTGGCTGGGAAACACGGTCAGAAGCAGCACATCAGGTCCCTGGAGAGAAGGCTTACCGTGGCCCACGGAAACCCCATCGGGCCTGGAAGCTTGAGCTGAGGCATGTTGCAACCGAGAAACGGAATGAGACATTGAGGATGGCAAATCGGCCCTATGCAGCCCCAGACGGGTACGATCCAAGGAAAGATGATGCCACCGTCGGAAGAGGAGGTGGTGACTTCTGAGGAAGTCCACGTAACTTTGGTTGTTGAGTCCACGCCTGGCGGCTGCGTTGTCGTAGCGGTCATGAAGAGGACGGTGTAGGAGTTGTCTGAGCTGGTGGAAGTCGTGGAGCTGACACCGCTTGTCGCGCTGCCACCTGGCTGAGGTGTTGTTGATCGGGCGAGCGACGATGTGCTGGACACCCGACTGCTCCCAGATGAAGGAGAGGTGGAAGACTGATTGTCCTTGTTTGCGGTTGTTGAAAATTCATCGTCATTCTTTCTGTCAGTTGACGAGTTGCTGTCTTTTTGCTTGCTCGTAGATTTGCTTCTATCGTCCTCCCGCGCTGTAGAGGTGCCGTCGCTAGTCCTTTCAGTTGAAGAAGAGGCATTTTCTCTCCTGGTGGTAGACGCTTCGTCAACATCCTTTCCAGCGGTGAAAGAATCTGGTCCATCCCTCTTGGTAGTATGGCTTTTGCTGGCATCCTTGGTTGATGTGGTGTGAGTTTCGTCTCCAATTGTGGACTTGGGGCTAGTTTCGATGGTGGACGACAGACCTCCTCGAGGAGTGTCGTCGCCTAAAGAGGTGATGGAAGACTCTGCTACACTGCCTTTTGTCGAGGCCGTGTTTCTTACAGAAGAAGCGGCTCCGCTGCCGCCTACCGTACCAGAAGACTGGACAATGTCATGTGTTCTGCTCGTATCGACAGGTCTGGTGGTAGAAGAACCTGTGGCAATGAAAGGTGTAGGGCTTGTAACTGATGAGGGTGGCAGGACAACACTGGGACTTTCACTATGCCTCGTTGCATCCGAATGAGATGTGTTGGTGCGTCCTGGCTCGCCCACGGACAGAGACCTGTGAGTTTGAGAGGGATGGAAGGTAGAATTGAGTCCCTGAGAACACTGAGTTGGGAAAGCAAAGCCAGTTCCAGTTGAAGAGTAGCTCTGGTCGGTCTCAACAATCGTGCTCGAGAGGACGCTGATTTCTCCAGAATGACTGCTTTGCGGCAACGTATCATTTGAACTGGGGATGGGGGCCGTAGACTTAGACGAATATCCTGAAAAGTTGGACTTGGTAGATGTATTGGTGAATGGGCCTCGGAAACTAGATTGCAGACTAGTCGCACTATTCAAGGTAGCACTGGTACTGGTGTTCGCTCCAGGGACAGCTTGACTTGACGAGTTCAATGTGAGTACCGAGGAAGCAGGGACATCTTGAGAAGTGATTGAAGGCGTGACATCGCCAAGGCTTCTGGAGAATGTGACGAGAACGTATGTTGTCAGGAAGCTCGTAATAATTTGTCCATCCTGGAGTTCAGAGGTTGAAACAAACACCACAGTCTCATTGCTGGTGATAGTGGAAGCGGGGCTGTTGTTGATGTCTCGTTTGTTCTTGTTGCCTGATGGTAGATGGGTTAGTAATTGTCGTATCACTTTTGATCATCACAAGAGACTCTCTCACCTTCAAGGCCAGCATGACAAACGTCCAGAAGAGCAGCACAGGCAACCAAAGATATGAAGAAGCATCGAGTTGTCGGCCTTGGTAACCCCATTCTACCAGGGTAGCTTCGGAAGCACAGTACGGTCATATCGAAGGCCAAGATGAGAGGTCTGTGATTACAAGACGAAGTGAAAGAGGGGTCAAATTGAGGTTGTGAGTTTTCCCAGTAACGACGTTCGATTGAGCACGGCAAATAAGTGAGACACAGGTTGCTAACATTCAGGATCACAGCCTTCATATTTCAACAGTATCTCCTCTTCTAACGGCGAAGATATTATCAAGCCGCGAGACGCGCAAACTAATCTTCTTTGTTCCGAACGTTTATCATATGTGCCGAAGAGTTGCTGTCAGGAGGCATGATTATGGCGGCACAGCCTGAACCTGCAGGAATGGCCCGCAAGGGGTCATTTGTATCTGCGCTGGTGAGTCCCCAAAAGCCATGCAGTCCCAGGTTTTGATTTGCAACTGTTCCCAAGGTAAATGGTCCCGATGCCCAAAGTTGTGCTGCTTGTTCGTGTTCAATGCCGTGAGACAGTTTGCACAGGTAGCCTCGCTTGTTCTACAGAGTTGACTTGCCAGCAAGCCAGCAAGAGCCTCAACTATCCGACGTCGACTATACTGTTTTGAGAGCTGACCCATGCTATCTTTGGAGAATCTGTAGGTTCTATTGCCTCCTTGCCGATGCGGCATCAATGACGCGAAGACGCAGGGTTCGTTTCATGGCTATCGGCGTTGCACAAGCTGCAATGCCGTACAACATACCCTGAGGCTCCATGAAATGGATGCCCGCGTATGAGAATCAAATATAAGAAAAGCTCCAAGACTATTGCCGGATCGCGTTGTTGCAATCCTTTGTACCAACTGTGGCAGTATGCGTGCCCTAAGGCCGCCGACTGCGCCCGTGACTTTCCGTATGAGCTGAAGAGTTATTGTGGCCAGTCACATATTATTAAGACTAGAAAACAAAACAACCCGCTCCCTGCAAAGCTTCAGTCCGGATTCTATAAGACTTCAGTGCAGATTTTATCAAAATTCTGACCAGGCAATTCTCCTAACGAGTTTTAGCGTGACTGCAGACAGCCTCAATGCAGGCCCCAGGGTCGTACAGCAGATTCGTGATCTTATGAGTAGTGTTTTGGAAGGCGGGAGATACTAAAATGGAAGTAATTCCACCGCATGTTTGTTTTGGACCATCAAGGTTTGTCTTTAATTCGTGCTTTTACAGGAATTCGGAACACCTGGAAATCCACCCGAGTTCATCCATGAGTGGAAAACTGTGTTGAATCCATAGAGGTGACGAAGAGATCCACCCTTGGGAACAAAGGTTATCTGACCTGCTGACAGCTGCTTTCTTTCAACCTGTTTTCATGTATGCACACGACATTTTCACCGGACCCCCTTGCTTAACGCCCCCAACAGCAGTATTCACCAAGCACAAAACCATCTCCATGAGACATTTACTACAATCCTTTCAGGCAGGGGCGAGGCGCCTGGGTGCCAGGCTCGTCTGGTCCGCCAACATGTTCCAGGTGCCGCGCCCTATTGACGAAGAAGACCTGGCGGGGTATCGTCCAGGGGGCTACCACCCCGTCCGAATCGGCGACCATTTTAAACATGGCAAGTACAAAGTGCTGAACAAGCTGGGATACGGGGGCTATTCAACCGTTTGGCTTTCCCGGAATAACGAGTGAGTAACATGCGACTTGAGCATTGTACCTTATCCAAACTCACGGGTCGTCAGGACCGAGAGCCACGTTGCACTGAAAGTCCTCGCCGCACACACGTCCAAAGTCGGACTAGACATCAACGAGCTGGATATCCTCCTGAATGTGACCTCGAAATCTGCGACAAATCCAGGGACAGCCCATGTCCTGGGTCTCCTCGACCACTTTGAGCACCGCGGACCTAATGGAGACCATCTCTGTCTTGTGTCCAAGCCCATGGGCCCGAATACGTCGGTGTTCAGAACTTTGTTCCCGAAAGCGATGATTCCGGTGCCCACTATGAAGAGGGTTTCAAAGCGGCTTCTTCTTGCACTTTCCTATCTTCATGATGAATGCCAGGTCATACACACAGGTTGGTCCTTGATCCCAGCGCTATTCAGGTCATTCCTAACTTGCCTCCGTTGAAGACATCAAGCCAGCAAACATCTTGATAGAAAGCCCCGGGATCAACGAGCTGTTTGAGAAGGCGCCTTCAGAAGTATTCGTGTCGTCTGATGTGTCTCTTCCTCCACCAGATGCCTTCTATATAGGTTCGCATGAGTTTTGTGCAGGAGATGAGGACATCACAGAGTCGAGCGAGCTTTCAGTACGACTGGCAGACTTCGGTACCTGTAGGTTTCACTGTAGCATACGCCATAGGGATACCGCTGACACGGAGTAGCCAGCTGGTTTGACGATCACTTGACAGAGTGGATCCAACCCGCCATGCTTCGGGCTCCGGAAGTAACACTCGGGGCTGATTGGGATCACAAAGTAGACATATGGAACTTGGGGCTTGTGGTAAGTCATTTTCCTTCGACAGTTTGAGTGAACAACCGTATTCACATTTCTACTTAGATATGGGAACTCACCCAAGGGGCCGTTCTGTTCGACGGGAGCTGGACGCCTCAGGATCTGTACACAGGCGAGGCCCAGCTGGCGCAGATGACATCCCTTCTGGGAGCTCTCCCCAAGTCCTTGCTGTCTCGGTCGAGGGAATGCGATCGGTATTTTGCCAGCGACGGTCAGTTTACAATTGGAAGAAGAAAACATCTACGGAGCTAACTGCGCGCTAGGTAACCTTTTGAAGCCCTCAACATTCGGCTCTCTGTGCCTAAACGACATGTGCAAAAACAGGCTGAACTGCAACATTTCAGACTCTGACCGTGCAGACTTCTTGGATTTCACCATGGCGATGATAAGACTTGATCCAGCCGAGAGGCCGGATGCGAAGACGTTACTGGGACACAAGTGGATTCAAGAGTCGTGAGAATAATGTGGGTGGGAGTATCAGAAACGTCGCCTCCCGACGTTAAACACAACACGCCAAGTTCTCTCGGCCGAGGTTGCCGTGACCATGGATTCTTCCCCGGCCTCGGCTACCCAGCTCGGACCGTCAGCTGGTATGCTCCGCGACCCAGGATCCTGTGCCGATCCCCCGACTTCGTCACATTCCTTCATCGCAGACAGCAAAGATCCGCACAAACCACCTGAAAATCAGTTCGCCAACCACCCAAACCCCCCTCAAAGCTTTGATAAGAGCAAACTCATACATTAATATTATCCAAAAACGCTGCTGCTATGTAACGTCTATCCGCCTTTTTTGTGTTCATGTACTCCATTAAACCAGGCCCATCCGTAGGCTCTGGAACCATGCAATGCTATGCCCCAAGGAATGACGAGCAAGCGAAATGGCGATCATCAGAAATCGTTCAAGCATATCGCCGGAAAGCGCAAACTCCTGCGCTCGGCCCTCTTTCTTCTCCAACAACAAGACACACATCCACCTTACGCGACGGCGGAGATCTCGGTGATGGGCGTTGGCAGCGTGATCTTGTCGCACTTGATCTCGCGCCTCGAGTAGACCTCGCCAATGGTCCAGTTCAGGTTCTGCCAGCTCGTCTCCTCGCACGAGAGATCAGCGACGGCGCCGCCCTTTGCGGTATACCGAGCCCTGCCACAACCATTCCAGTCAGCCTCCATCATTCTTGTCCACGGGGCCACATGTGAGAGAAACTTACGGGTACTTCGGGTCGTCGTTGCACGTCCAGCTCTGGTTCAGCGCCAGCGCGCCGTCGGGGCGGCTGAAGGTGAAAGAGGTCGTGGCGCTCTCGCCGTCGGGGGCCTTGCAGTCGTAGACCATCTCGCCGTAGAAGAAGTCGTTGAGGCGGCTGCTCGCGGCGGAGCAGGAGACGGTGTAGTCGAGCACCGGGTTGGAGACGTTGAAGCTGACGTAGCCCCACGAGTTCTGGTGCGCGGGCGTCGTGAAGATGTAGCTGGCATGGAAGTCGAAGTCGGTGAGCGTCCACTCGGAGAGCTTGCCGGACTTTTGGCCGCATGTCGGCTCGTCGCGGGGGGCGATGGGAGAGGCGAGCGCGGGGGCGAGGAAGAGGAGCGTGGAGAGGAGCTGCATTGTGGCGGTGGTGATGTTGAGGTTGAGATTGAGGATTAGATTAGGTGGGATTGGTAAGGATGAGATGGGCTCAAGGAGTTGCGATGAACTGTTGCTCTGTGGTGATAATGCAAGATGCTGCTGGATGAGATGCAGTGATCGGACGGGGAGCACGTCCAGCTTAAATAAACCTCAGCAACCAACCCATCAAGGGTCGCGTGTGTGAGGAAAAAGATCGTCGAATGTTTGTTGGTTGGCTCCATGCCTGCCTGTCAACCTCAACCCAGCCATCCATCCGCATTAAAGTCGGTAAAGCCGGAGGACACAAAATGTTCGAGAGAATGACGTCGCACGGGTTGCCTTGCTCTCGTATTCCCCCTCAAAGGAGAATCCTACCGCACATCACTTTTTTTTTCTCCTTTGCATTTTAGCCGCATTCCACCCGGCACCCATCCCCCTCACAAACGCAGACCGCGGATCGCAGCCGTTGCTAGCCAAGCGGGCTGCGGTAGAAACAAAAAGAGGGGGGATGCCATATACTGCATAGTACACGAACCACATAAACACTAAAAAAACAGCCTCACTGGAAATGCCCGATTCCGGGGAGCGCGAAAAGTATGCGATGCAGGCCCGTAGCGGAGCCCGGTGTGCCATTATTAGCAGGCGTTGTTTCTGCCGTCATGCGACCCTCTGCGAGCTAAAAAGATTAAGTCTAAACGGTGACTGGCTGCGGATGGGAAGGGCTGCCGATCTCTGGGCTCGTGTTGGCAGCGGAACCTAGCTCTGCGATGCGCATTAACGGTTGCACACACAGCCTGTCGAATGCAGCCACGATCTCCCCTGGCGGTGCAGAAGACTCTTGAGCCCGTTGGGTTGGCGCACGGTTAGGGACGGGTGGCTGGATTTATTGGTGGTTGGGTTAGGACGGCATCTTTCAGGGTCCTGGCTTGTTCGAATTGCCGGATGGAATAGGGATGGAATGTTTCTGTGTTT